CGCTCACACCGGGCCGGGGGAGAAAAAGTCACAGAAAACCGAGCCGCGGATCCCGTCAGCTTCAAACCCCGCTTCCCATAACCCGGCGTGTGCTCCTCCGTGGAAATAACGCCCATCGGTGCCTGACTTGGTAGCGGGCAGACAATCGTCACCACGTCTGGTTTTTCAGCCCTGAAATCTCCAATTAATATGTACAATGTTATTTATATCCAAAGTCTATGTAACTTAGTTTGATATTAAGATATTTTGGAAGAGATCATGCTTTTCGTCTTTTTCCCTTGACTTGAAATGTCTAACAACATTCACAATGTGCTTAACTTAAAGGCAGTTGGGAAGAGGCTTCCAGAAATGATAACGTGTGCGTTAACCTCCAAAAGGGACAAGCAGTTCTTTGGTATATAATACCAGTACATTTATAATTCAATAAACTATGGTGTTGCTTCTTTTAGGTGTTCGGGAGCCATGTGTGTGACCAGTACAGAACATCAGGTTCTTTGCCAGAGGAAAAAAAAGAGCTTCTGCAAAATGGACCAGATCTACAAGACTTCGTGTCTGGAGATTTGTCAGACAAGAGTATGTGGGCTGAGTATAAAGGCAATTTAAAGCGTCAGAAAGGAGAAAGGTAACTGTGATTTTAAAACAACTGTAGTTGCTTCCATGCGCTATCTTGCATGTTTAGTATTAACTACAAAATGTATACAATGTATTTTTAGTAAATTCTGTTGTACTGGCTTGCCAATTTCATAGTTTTTCAAGAAAGAAAAAACACATTAGCAACTTCAGGTGTGTAACAAAACATGAAGACATGGTGGTATTTTCTCACTTGAGTGGGTGTGCCATGGCCTGTATTAAATTATACATATACATCAGTAGGTGAGCATACCCTACTTTGGTGTTGAAAAAATATTACTGATAGAGTAAAACAAAAAGTAAAGACTAAATTTAAAAAATGCTTAAAACCCCCATATTTCCAGTTATAAATTTGATCAGACTTTTTGATAGCGGTGTAGCATATACTGCCATTAGTTGTTGCAGTGTCCAGTGGGGCACTAGTAAATCCTGCTGGTACAGTTGTTAACAATTTTAAACCTTCTAATGACAACAAACTCTTACTCTTGAATGTTTGGACGATGGCAAACATGGAAGAGAGAAGTCTGCTTTGACCATGAATGATGCTAATATTGGTTACTGAATTGTGTCAGTTTTCAAGGAACCCTTTGGGATCTGTAACAAATTAAAGTGGATCTATGAAATTCATGAAAACTTACCATGTAAATAATTTATTAATCTTTATTGCTTCTTGATGTTATTCAGGCTGCGACTTCCTCCATGGCTGAAAACAAAGATTCCCATGGGAAGGAACTACAATAAACTAAAGAATACCTTGAGAAGTTTAAATCTTCATACGGTAAATCTAGTACCGACCAAGTTTTCCTCTAGAAATAAGACATTTTTTAGAGATACAAAATTATTTCTCTATGGAGAACAGATAGAAATCACATCTTGCCTGATCTTCAGTGCTGAAACCAAGCCCAATCTTAATCTGTTTTGCCAGCAGTGAATTTTACCCATAAAGAATGAAGACAAAACCAATGGAGTATTTCATGTTTTTCCTGCATTGATTTTAAATACTAGGGTTTACTATTTGCATCCCCAAAGAGATCAGAAGATGCTATGTGGGATTGTTTTTAATGGAAATGCACACGATTTCAGAGTTACATACATGTTTTGCATGAAAAGAAATCTTAGAAATATATGTATTTCATTAAATATAACTTCCAGATGGTAAAAAGTAGTGGGTATGCATGGAGAGCATTTTCCTTTTTTTTTTTTTTCCAGAGTAAGATCATGCTTTGATGCATCGTAGACTTTTTGAACATTTTATCGATTTTTACATTTAAAATGTTAATGAAAATCTGGGCTAATTAATAAGGCAGTTACATGGTTGAGGGGTTTTTGGAGTTGTGAAGTAGAGGAAAAGAATGGTAATGGATGTCAGGAAACAATTCTCTCTTCCTATCTGTTGTACTGACTTCTTATAGAACAACATGTAACTCTGTTAATTTCCTTATTAATCACTGAAGGAATTCTGGGTTTTTTTGTAGGCTACTATTGAAATTGATCAATAATATAATAATTTTCAGTAGCAATATGGAAAAAAGACAGGTACATTACTGTCTTTTAACTTCAGGTGTGTGAAGAAGCACGTTGTCCCAACATTGGAGAATGCTGGGGAGGTGGTGAATATGCTACAGCTACTATTATGGTAAGCCATTAACCATTTCTTAAGTACTCTATTAATGTTTGAGCTGTTTGTAGTGTGTAGTTGGATCTCTGTTGTAGTTGAGTGAGTTTATTACGAGAAGTTTAGAGTAAAGCACTGTCCTAGTTTCATTTGCTTAGTATTTGGATTTATCTGATCTAGCTCATACAGCTGTTTCTGAGCTGAGCAATAGTGATGTGTACAATGTAAAGGTAGGAATGTCTTTCTTGTTTCAGCTGATGGGTGACACATGCACTAGAGGTTGCAGATTTTGCTCAGTAAAGACAGCAAAAAATCCACCTCCGCTGGATCCCCAGGAGCCTTACAACACAGCAAAGGCTATAGCTGAGTGGGGCTTGGATTATGTTGTACTGACGTCTGTGGACAGAGACGGTTAGTATGTTGTCTCTCATCTCTTCCAGTCTAAGCTCTCATATGCGTCACATGGGGTAAACACAGATCTCGATAAACATTTATCACTCAGCACAATTGTTGAGGATTACTATTTTAGAGGAGTTGATAGTGCTGAAACTTCAGAAAGTGTCTGTGTATTCTTAGCATTTCCCTGTGTCTGGTAAAATATAACAGAAGTTACACTGTTATTAAACAACAATAGTATTATAATACTAAATGTTTAGTTACTCGCTTGTTGCAAAATACATATGTTTACACCATGTTCTCTTGATTAGCAAAAAAAAAAAAACCCCACAGACATTCATATACAGTACCATTACAGAACTCCCTTCCAAAAACTAAACATGGAATATATTACACATAACAGATCTGAAAGTTGCCTTTTTCTAAGGTTGTAGCAGCTCCTTTGCAGTGACACCACACAGCTGGGGAAAACCATTGTAAAGACTGTTCACTATGGTGGAGAGTCTAGTAGCTTCCAAGTGGCTTACAATAAAAGAGCAATAATATATATTTCAGTGTTTGTAGAACTGGTTCTCAGACCAAAACCATAAATAGATAAAGCCATTCTGTGCCCAGGCTGACAGTGAACCTAAGAGAGCTAAATTCGGAGTAAACATTTGAAGTCTGCCCTAGACGATCACTGTTAAACTGTGTGCGGAACAAGGCTTGGTAGAATATCTGTTGTAAACCTTTGGCATAAGTGGGGTTTGACTACTTTATTATTTTGCATTTAAATTTGAATCTGTAGGTTTTTTGTGGTGTTGCTAATAAGTAAATATATTTCTTGAATTGAAACGTTAACTGAATAATTGAAATGCTTCTAGATATGCCTGATGGTGGAGCAGAACACTTTGCAAAGACAGTCTCTCATCTTAAAGAAAGGTATATCATTAATGTATTACTGTTATTATTAAAAATTTATAATGTGGTACTGCATATAGGTCAAAACTACCTTTAGCTGTATTATTCCAGGGGATATGTAAATACAAAAGTCTGCCTTTAGCCTTTCTGTGTCCCTTTTTTTTTTTTCTCCTGTTTTTCATCTTTCTCAAATAATGGCCCCAAAGTATTTCAAATTTGGATGCCTTTCCAATTTACCCCAGGCTTAAAAGTAAGCTGGTTTACCAGGGAATTAGTACATACTTTTGAGGTATGTTAATTCTTGAAGCTTGGGGCTCAAACACAGTGGATTTAGATAAGTGTCACCACATTACAAAAGAAGTCGGGTTTCTCTTTCAGCAGTGATCAGTTTGCATTTTCCCACAGTGGCTGTGTCCAAGTCTGTGACTGTACCTTCCTGCTGTCCCTAGCTCTGCCTTTTTCACTCTCTGCCTCAGTGCCCTGTACACCGTTTGATAGCATACTTGTCTGCCTGCAGATTTAGTTCATATAACCTCATTTTGAGTCCTTATCCGGTGTATCTTGGGACTCAAAAGGTTCCTGCGGTTTTCCCCGCCTGCCTTTCTGAGCTGAGATGTGGCTCGTGGACACCAAGATCAGGTTCCAGGGCGATAATGAAGAGTCTTCTTATCCCAGTAGGCAGGATTATAGCTCCTCTGTATTTTGGACCTATGATATTGAAGTCATGTGAAGTTAACCTGCAACAAAGACACATGAAAAATCACCTATGAACAGTGAATGGGATTGTTTAAAAGACTGTTGGAATCACTTCTATGTTTTATTATTTGGCATTCATTCTATTTCAGCTCACATCAGTAAAATCAGGAATTAAACCCATGATGTTTTGGTTGAAGTGTAATAACAGTATTTGCAGAAATCTGTTGTTTCACAGTTGTGTCCTGAATTAACTTTATCAGAATGTTCTTTACTTATGTTTGGGGTTTTTTCGCTATATTGAGTTTTTTAGCAACAGTGACACAAATCCCATAGGTGTGTTCATTTTCAGTCCCTCCTTTTCAGGAATCCGCACATCCTGGTGGAATGCCTCACTCCCGATTTCCGCGGGGACCTGTCGGCCGTGGCGAAGGTCGCGCTGTCGGGACTGGACGTGTACGCCCACAACGTAGAGACGGTGCCGGAGCTGCAGAGGTGAGCCGCGCAGTGCCTACGCGTGAAGTGGAAAAAAGCACCAA